AGCTCGGGTCTTGGTCTATAGGGGACCGTTGCTCTAATGGGGCTTCACATCTTGGGGGAGGACAGGCAGCTGGAACGTGGGACGAACGAGTGAAGAGGTCACAAATCGGCATTCTGGGACGCACATTTTTCGAGTGTCTTCGACTTAAGGGTGTCTGTGGGCGCCGAGGCAACAATTTAGGATAGTGCTACCGATACTCTAAAAACAAGCAACGATGGAAAGTATTTTGGTCCGTCTCCTGGTCGTCATCTCTCCGACTTGAAGTCTGGGTAGCCCAGACACCTACCTCACTCGAGAAAGGGAGGACTGTGAGGCCATATCTCGCGCGGCGGCTATATACAAGATAGAAAAGGCATGTTAGGGTACCCAAAGGTTTTTCCTGTTTTGCCTTTGGTGGATGTTAACGGTTGAGGGTAGGGTGAATGTCCCTAGCACCAAGGTCTCGAGTGGTATCAGCGATTGCACCCACTACACGAGTAGTCCAAATGTCAAACTGAGTTATCGCCGTATACAATTATCGGGGAAGCTGGTATTCTACGTGTCATGCTTTTTAAGTGCAGGGCCTGTGCCCGTCACGAATAAGTGTTCATTCACTCATTCACACACACTTGGACAAAAGAAGAAGTTTTCAGCAAAACTAAAAACCAAAACATAAATTAGAAGCTAAAAGCAAAGTTACAAGAAATTCCTAGTTGGTCCAGATACCGGGCTTCTCGCCCATTTCCTTTCCTGTGACTTCCTCCGCATAGCGTTCCCTGAGCTCAGCTGAGAGTGAAAGGTAAGTTTTTGGGTCTCCCTTATTGTCAGCCGGTCACAGCGTTCAGCTTCTTCTTCGGATTCCAGAACTCCGAAACCCGAACCGTCCGCCATCGAGACATCTTTCTCTGTAGCTCTGGCTCGGGCGGCTGCTACAGGCATTTATTCTCGTGCTTGATTGCATGTTGATTTAGCTTGCCAGGTACAAGCCTTGCATTTCATTGCATTTATTTTGTTGATGTTGTGCAGCCCTACATTAACGTGTCTGTATTCCCAGAGAGTTTCCGGGTATTGATGAATCAACGAAATTAAACCTGATTTAATGAACACTACAGGCATTCCGTAACTAAAGATAACATGCGTGCTTTGGCTTCATACTTTATTGTGAGCAGACAACCTCAATGCGAGCATGGTAAAGGAGCCGGCGGGCCGTCTGACACCATGCTGAAATGGCCATGTCAAATGGAAAACAGCTGGCAAAGGTCGCAGAGCTCCTGCGTTGAATATTTAGCTCGGCCCACGGGGATGTCAGTATTTGGCAGATTGTGAAGGGGGTGACGGAATTGACCCCGAGCAGCGCGCAGGACTAGCAGGAGTTGGCCGAGCAGAGGCGGTACGAAATTATGTGCTGGGATGGAAGATGATTCGACAAGAAGTGCAAGGCGCAGCAAAGTCTTTCAACTGTCACCATTTTTCTGGTTGATGATTTGCCCATCTATTTCTGCCCCTGCATCCGGTCGGGCAGAAATCCGAAGATTTGCGTGAAACGCGGTCTGCGCTCTTATTGGCAGCCAACATAGTCTAGTGCGAATTCATACACGATAAAAGGTACATTTAACTTTATAATTAGTTTAGGGCTTGAAAGGAGGACTTCTACTGGACGGGGACTAGGCAAAAAGCAAAGGGAAGCAGCTACTACTACAAGAGGCGTCGGTATACCGGACCTGTAAGCAGAAAGACGTTAGATGAAATGTTAGACCCGGGAAATGGCCAAACTAAGAAATAAAAATATGGCCTAGCAAGGTCCACGCGTGTCACGCTGACCAGCAGTGAGGGGTGCCCATTGCCCAAGACGCCAGATGACAAACACTCGTCACGTGCCAGTGTTATCCTCCACGAACCGAGAAGTGGAACATTCTCCTACGGCCGGTGCGGCTCTCCATAATCCGATGGCTTGATTCGCCACACATATCACGATATGCCCAGATAATCAGGAAGCCATCATTTGCCTCCTTGTTAATACTCCTTCCCCTAGCAGTCACTCTCGTATCGCTCACTTCCCATGCCTTGCTACGTAGTGGACACAGAGAGAAGGCAGCCACTCTTCCGAACCAGGTATAGTCAGAGTGCCATGGTGTCCAGGATATGTCGGCATTCCTGGCAATGAAAACTCTGATGCACTTGATAAACAAGCATACGCAGCCCCTATCTCCAACAATCTCCCGAGCAAAGCGAGACATTATCTCATGACACAGAGCCTCTACAGCCCTTTACTGGTCCCAAAATTCTCCTAAACAATAACAACAGCTGGGAATTAGTGCCAATACTGGAAGCTCCCTCGAACTCAAGAGCCTATATCACTACGCCCTTGGTCGCATTCTTGTAGCTCGCTCAGGTCACGGTGACTTTGCTGACTACCACCGCCGCTTTCACCACTCAGACACTCTTCTGATCTGTGCTTGCGGGCTAGAAAAGTCTCTCGAGCACTTCTTTTCGGGTCGACTGAGTCGGCGTCAGTCTGGCCTTCGCAGCAGAAATAAACGTCCAACGACGCGAATTCGCTGGATTCTAGGCTCTCCTGAAGGAACCATAGCTTTTATTAAATGGCTTCATGAAACATGCCTTTTTGAAGCATGCAATAACAACACTAACTAGTACTCTAACCCCTCAACCCTTGACCTACATTCGCTATGGCTCAGATTGAAAGACTATTGGTCTAGGCGATAGATAACTTTCCTGTTGATATAGATAATTATCTTTTCCCTGTGTGGGAAAATAAACGACTCGGCGGAGGAGTACTTTTGGCTTCTTTCGATAGTTCGGAGTGCAAGGCAGGCAGGCAGGCCTTGGCCCATTTATAACATGTCGGCACGTCGGCCAGTTGAATTGAATTGAATTTTATTTATGTCCCTACTGAGTCTATGACTATGAAGGATCGGCCAGTTTATACAGACTGAGCTGGCCAACATGAGACGTTACGTTTGTGTTGTGAGCTAGCACGAACTTCAATAATAATGGAAGATTATTCCACAGCCAAGTTCTGTCAGATTTCGCAACACCATGGAAATTGGCCCACAAGGCAATGATTTAATTCTCTCCACGAGATCGATTCCTTTCTCAGCCTCATCAAGTCTACATGTATGACCAAGTATATCATCATTTTAATGACCACGTCTCATCAATTCATTCTCTGACCTCAAATGGCCTCCAAATACCCAACGACAAGAAAATCCCTTTACAGCCGGAAGAGATGAGTCCTGCCGCACAAATCTGGAAAATGGCTCGATGGGATGGGCATGAGATCAATCGGGACAAGTTTCCAAGATAATGCAAGGAAAGAATAAAAAACCTGAGGGGTATGAGATCTCGAATGGTATGGGGACTTGCAAATTGAAGAATATTGTGCGCGTCAAGCTTTCCATCTTGAGAGTGTAGGCGACACTATAAACACCGCCATGGTTGGATGGTCTAGTGGTATATCACTTGGGCCAGTCTCCCGAATAGGTTCTATATGGCTTCCACACAAATCCTACATAAGACAGGAGATAGCTAGTTCAATCCTGCAAAACACAACCACTTTCTCACGGCGCTGGTAAGCTCGGATGACGAAGGCATGCTTGGATAATCAAAGGTTTTGAAACGTCAATTTGATGGGTATTCACGGAGGAAGATCGACTGTTAGTATAAGCAAACATATCTCATAGTGTTATTTGCGAATAAAATCCAGATAATCAATGTTTCTAACGTCAAAAGAATCGACCAACATGTATATATAGTACTAATCATGTATCATAGCTATATAGATGAATATACTTCAACGATATTAGAAAAAGTATCTGTGCATAAATACGCAACACAGACTTTCGGGATGATAAGAATTTGGAATAATAAAGAGCTCACATCTTATTTCCCAGATTAATTACCTCAGAAAACTGACAATTTGATTCAGATATCTTCGTGCGATTTATACTTCAAGGACGAGTTGAAGGTTGCATTTCTGGATATTTCTGATATTATAAGCAAAAGAAATGGCATACCCTGATCTCTAGATTCGTATTTTGTATTATTCTCTTCTTTTGTTCACAGTTCTCTCTGGTTTTTTGCTACAACATTCATTATCCACCTTGTCTACAATTTCTGGCTTTCTAACCTCCATTTTGAACCTTAGTTGTCACTCATACACATCGAAGACGGCAGATTCTGCCCTCTTTAGATCTCGCAGTGACAATCGGTATATATATGCAGGCCAACTAAGGTCAGAGAATTAATTGATGAGACGGTCATTAAAATGATGATATACTTGGTCATACTTGCAGACTTGATGAGGCTTAGATAGGAATCGATGTCGTGAAGAGAATTAAATCATTGCCTCGTGGGCCAACTTCATTGGTGTTGCAAAATCTGACAGAACTTGGCTGTGAGGTAATGCTGTTAAAGATTTAATCTGTCCATAACTCTGAGCTTGATGATGGCCAGCAAGACGAAGAATATTATGACCTATCATTTAAGATAAAAGGGCGAAATGGGCATTAATTAGAAGATAGGACCGATAGAGTAAGGGGTGATTAGCCCGGAGTAGGTATGGGCATTGTGAATGTAGTCGGAAGCATAATCGTTCTAGAATGGAGTCAAGTGCGCAATATATGTTCACACGTGTCATATCCCTGTCAACAATTACCATATCCCGCACTCCCTTAAACACCATCAATCTCTGCTATCCATCGCAATCCTGAATATCAATATGAATTACTTTTATACGGTACATTTGTACGGGCCGACATCAAGATAGAAATGTTAACGAATGTTTCCAGTTTCTGCTCGGATGATGAATCTGAGTATAGCACCATAACGCCAGATAGCCTTGTCAAGCCTCGCTGATGAAGAAATGTTTGATTGAAGGAGCCGGCTGACTAGATAGGTTCAGGGTGGACATTTTGTTTCTGTCCGCCTCGCTGCTTGAGGCATACCGATCCCCAAAATTTTTGTGCACCCTGAAGCAAGTTCTCTCCCTAAACACGCATGCCATGTCGCCCCCCGCTATCATTGCGCCTTCAATTCTCTCAGCTGACTTTGCGAGCCTCGGTTCCGAATGTCGCAAAATGATGGACTGCGGCAGCTCGTGGCTACACATAGATATTATGGATGGTCACTTTGTACCCAATATCACATTCGGAGCGCCGGTAGTAACGAAAATACGTAGTCATGTTGCGAGGCCCAGTGAGAAACATGGGACTGGAACATTCGATTGCCATATGATGATCGCAGAGGTATTTACACTGACATTTCCACAAATTATGTGTTGTGTTCTCTTTCCAGCACTCATCACATCGATTTCATCTAACGCTGATTGATAAAAGCCTAAAAAATGGGTCAAGGATTTCAAGAAGGCAGGATGTGATCTATATACCTTTCACTACGAGGCTGCTATCTCTAGCACGGCGGCGGAAAGTCCTGAGGCACACAGCACTGAAAAGACGTCTCCAGCACAGTTGATAAAGTATATTCATGAAAGTGGAATGTTAGCCGGTATAGCTATTAAGCCTGATACGCCCGTTGATGTGTTATGGGAAATTCTAGAGAGCACAGACTGCGACGAAGTTCCGGACGTAAGCATAAACTTGCATCTTTTTCTGCCAATGGATGCGTTGGGCTAACCCTACACGCAGATGGTCCTTGTTATGACAGTTTATCCAGGATTTGGTGGGCAGAAGTTTATGGCTTCTGAATTGCCCAAGGTTCAAGAGCTAAGAAAGCGGTATCCAGATTTGAATATTGAAGTTGATGGAGGATTGGGGCTTGGAACCATCGATCAAGCTGCTCAGGCTGGGGCCAATGTCATTGTCGCTGGAAGCGCCGTATTTGGCTCTGATAACCCCGGAGAAGTTATCTCAAAGCTAAAGGAGGTAGTGGAGAGCTTTCGATAGGGTTAAAATCAAATTGTACTCATAATGCTATAAGTATCAAATGGGAACACAATGTGAAGCCTGGCGTAATTTTGAGTCAAATGTTTGCTATTATTACATCCATCTTGAATTTATATTTACATTAAATTTTGGGTACAATAAGTTGTCACTTTTTTGAGTTTCGGATACTTCGTAATCACCAATATGTCGCATAGCTGCTTGTACCCTGTACTAATTTCACAAACTCACCCGCTATAACTTCATTGGTCTTTTCACCGGGATGTAGCTCGTCAAACCACAAGTAGTGATCGAGTCCTTCGGGTTGTCTGACGCATTTTCCCCAAGGCACTGGGTCGCATTTGAAATATTGATGAGTAGAGTTTGCAGGCGCAACTAGATAGTCGTTTGGAGAGTTGTAAATATCGGTGATAAGGGAGTTAGTATCAAATATGGCAAACGAAGCGTCGGGGTAGCGTTCAGCGATCAATTTTTCGTAGGGTATTCGATAACTGAGTAGAGAATTGACAGTTTTCGTGTATTCTTTCATCTTACCGCTAATTTCAGATGTATTTGTTGGCTAAGAACGCGTTAATTATTATTCAATAACATTCTGTGTCCTCAGACAAAGCAAGAGCAACGAATACCTTCTCTCCCCAGTAACTACTCTTTGAGAGCCCTCCAACTTGTGGCATTCCATAAAGAGGCGTCAGTTGTAATGGAGCTAAATTCATCAAGACCATGTAGCGCCCTCCATTGGCATATATTTGATCGAACTTATCCATAATGCAGTCCGTAAAGCTCGGAAGAGAGCTTTCGTGAAGATTGCTGTCTGTCAGAAATCCATTTACTCCGAGGTCGTTAGTGCCAATCCATATCGAGTAGATCGTGTTGCTTTCGTCACGATCTGCGAAAAACGGCGTGTTGGTAGTCTCATTAATAAACGTTGAATCTGACACGAAAGCATTGACTTCATAAACTACATCGGGGAATGGTCCGTAAAGAACAGAGATGTATCTATTGACAAGATTATTATCACAAACTGCTCCTGAGACGGCGTAGTTATATAGCTTCGCTCCTGTACTTTTTGCGACGTGACGAGCCCATGTCATACCACCGCCTGCTGTAGCATTACTCGCGGGTGGAAGGAAACCTGTCGGGGGGGCAGTTCCGTTGTGGTTAATGAAGTACGGAAGTCGCGATTCGTCCGTGTAGCTGTCGCCGAATACGACGAGATTCGTTAAGGACGGGATCCATCCGCTTGACTTTGGAGTTGGAAAGACTTTCACGGCGCGACAGGCGATGAAGAGCCAGGTCGCAGCTACGTATAGCTGCGTCCAAGTTACCATTTGAATAAACAACAATGTCCCGAGAAGTCTCTACTCGTCGCTGTACTCTCTACATGTTTACATAGGGTAGTTTAAGAAGCTCTCATTCCCCTGCAGTGTCTTACTGAGCCCCGGCGTTACCGAAGGTCGCAATTTAATGGTACAAGGATTTGTCATGGAAATCCTGGCTGCGAATCATATGCCCCTTTAGACTTTTCGTGAATGCTTACATAATTGGAAAACGGTATCGGAACTTCGCAATACGTCTTATACTGCACCACACCAACTCTTCCTTCCAACACCATGTCGAATCCACCCGAATCAGGGCCTCGAAGCGGCCTATCGCTGTATGCTAACCTACTGGATCCGGATGCACAGACTATGCCCGGAACAATTTCGAAAGGACCTGTCACCTTCACACCTGCACAGACTTTCAATGAGCCCAAGAAGCCCCAGATAGATCCTGGTATCCGATCTCTATTCATGAAGTCTTGAGGGAAGTAAACTCACTCGGAATAGCTGCTCTAAGGTTTCAACCAACCAAACGACCACAACTTTCGCAAAAACTTAAGCCCAAGGCTTCCTTTCCAAAGCAAGTTAATGAACCTGTAGCACCAGGAAAAATAACCCAACCTGCAGCAAACTTATCTTCATTATCAAAACCTACTCAAGTTTTCAAGACGTCCCTCGCCGATTGGACTGGCGACAAAGACGATGATACCTTTTACGGAGGGGAAAAAAGGCAGCGCGGCGGTAGAAAGAAGAAGAAGAAGAATAGAGAAGACTTTACAGTAATCCAAGAATGGGATGATATTTACGATCCAACTCGACCAAATAATTTCGAAGAATACAAAAACAGCGACGAAAGGATACGGGAAGTGCGCGAGTGGAAAGATCGTCTATATGCTCACAGAGAAGCCCAAAAAGAACAAAGCTGCCAAATTGAGGAAGAAGACAACCGACAACCCACCAAAATGAGTGAGAGGAAAGTCCCATGTAAGACTACCTTATTCTAACAAAGTATAGTCTTTCATGCACCGCCCTCAACCTACGACTTTGCCCCTCCACCGATAGAACCAGTTTCTGATCCAACAAGCGCTATCCTCCCTGATACTAAAATAATAGAAGCTCCAGTACCTCTTATCGTAGAAGAACCAATACAAGATATTTGTCCCACAATTAAACCGCCGGGTCAGATATCTCGACCACCAATACGATACCAGCTACCGCCAGCCCCTAGTGACATCCCGGCTACTGAGATTGAACTAGAGAAGGCTATATCTGAGGAGCAACAAGACTCAGAGGATATCAAGGACCCTATATCTCGACGACCAGGTCAGAAAGGCTTCGCTGAAAGACTGATGTCCAAATATGGCTGGAGCAAAGGCAAAGGTCTTGGCGTTGAGGAAAGTGGAATCATCAATCCTCTGCAGGTCAAACTTGAGAAGCGAAAGAAAAAGTCGGACGCGGAAGGAGGAGGTTTCAGAGATACTGGCGGAAGGGGTATAATTATAGGGGGAGCAAAGAAAAAATCCAAAGACAATGACGCCGGAAAATTTGGTCCTATGTCCGAGGTCATTGTATTAGAAGGTATGGTAGATGGAATGAACCTCGACGAAGAAGTTGAGGGGGCGGGAGATGGTGGTCTAATGCAAGAAATTGGCGATGAGTGCGCCGATAAATACGGTCGCGTGGAGCGGGTTTACATCCACAGATCTGACGCGACAGCCAAAGTATTCGTGAAGTTTACAAGCCAGCTTTCAGCGCTGAGAGTAAGTTTATGAAAGTCTAGAGTTTGAAGACGAAGACTAACCCACATAGGCAGTCAACGCGTTGGAAGGTCGAATTTTTAATGGCAACACCATTGCAGCTCAATTCTATGACGCCGAATGCTTTGAAGCTGGTGACTTCCAGTAAATATATTCTGCGATTCAAGAAGTAATCTGCTAGTACTAGTCGTTAGATTAGTTAAATACCTAATAAATCTAGGCATTCCTCGGCACCTGACTCGTATGAGACGCAAGATCAGGCGAGTATTTACCAGCCGAGATACATTTACACGCATATCCGTCATATTTAAATACGAAAGCGGGGGATCATGGTCTGGGGACGGTGATTAATTGGATCTTACCGCAGGAAATTGGGCTCGAGATTACCGCATGTACACAGAGATGAAATTCCTCAAGGCGCCTTCGCCGGCCCACTCGGGTCTAGCTTGATGTTCATACATTGCAATCAATATCAATCTTTATCCTCGTCGTGAATCCCTCATCATCCTCTTTCGCTGAGGTAGGACAGGACCGATTCATATATTCCCCTTTCCCATTTTAGCAACGCCTCACGGTGGAAGAGCAGATTTTTCACACTAATCAGACCTGCGAGGATCCCGCCAACATATTCTCACCGAGAAGTGAAAAATACTACCGAGCCGACTCGAGATTGTCATCCACTCAGTACTTGAAAGCTCCATCTATTGCCTGTCATGTCTACATCGGTCAAACGTGCTTGTGATGCATGCCATCGTCGCAAGGTGAAGTGTGACGGCATCAATCCGTGTCGTAACTGTTCATCTGCTCAACTCTCGTGTACATACAACGCTATTCCACAAAAGAAAGGACCAAAGGGTTCTCGGGCCAAGGTTATTAGTGAGCTCCGAGAGACGCAACGCCAGTCTAGTCTTTCATCTAAAGTTACTAGCCGTATAACGGGCGTGTGCCCAGTGACGTACAATGCTTCATTGGCGCCGACTCCAGGTCTCTTGACAAATGATCTTATCAGAGACTGTGTGGATTTTTTTTTTACCAACATGTATCCCACTTTGCCGATACTACACCGTGGGAGACTTGAACAGCAGATCTTATACGCCGAGAAGAACGTCGATACATACTGTCTCCTTACCTCACTATGTGCTTTCATGATGATTCAACCAGGAATGGGCATCCCGGGCGCTCCGCTGCGAGCAGAAAACCTCCCGGACGCAAATCTTGTCTCGGGAAATCTACTGATGCAGGAGACATTAAGGATCCGAAAGAGCTACGATTATCTCGAGGTTCCAACTCTCAACAGTTTGGCAACGAGCTTCTTCCTTTTCGGCTGCTACTTCGGACTTAATCTTCACAACAATGCCTGGTTCCATCTACGGGAAGCTACAACTTTGGCGCATGTGAATGGGCTGCAGAAAGAAGAGACTTACTCTCAATTTGATGTAGCTGATGCATCGAGGCGACGAAGACTTTACTGGCTCTTATTCGTAACTGAAAGGTAAATTAAATCTAAGATATTTGCCCATTAATTCTTCCTGACCGACCCACAGAGCATACGCGCTCCAGCGACATAGACCTTTATCGTTACAAGCAACAATTAGCCCCCCATCACAGAACGACGATCCAACCGATCCTCAAGCGTGCCACCTAAACGGGTTTATTGATCTTGTCAGCCTATTCCTTCCATTCGATGAGGCCTTGGTCACTTTGTGGAACAAGACCAGCACAGAATGTTCAACCAACTATCTCGCTGCACTTCAAAAGGACCTTGCCGATGCGTTACCTGCATATCTTACTTCAAATGAGAACCAAACGGCTGATCTTCGCACCAGTCAGCAGTGGCTTCGGACAATGGTCTGGCAGCTTAGTATGCAAAATGGTTGCCTATCATCGGCTCACGAGGAACCTAGTATGACATTTCAATACCCCGTCGACATATCCCGTGATCTCATTTCGATGACTTCACAATTTTCTCATCAGAGTATGGATATTCATGGTATAGGACTTGTATGGACTCCTTCCGCTATTATGTTACAGGTTTGAGTCTGACAGGGTCTTAGATTGAAAAGTTATTCGACATCGCCTGCTCCTTGACCGATGTTCTTACCCTGCTCCCGCCAAATCTATATTCATTTACCCTTGGGCCACAGGACTACCTTCATGATTTCATTGGACTGTTGGCCGTTCTACGTCATGGTAACCACCGATTTCTACCTCTTTTATTGGCCAAGGTCAATGACGTCCTACCAAGACTCGTCAACCCTATGCTACGTGCTGTTCCGGATCCACCACCAGACATGTGTAATGAAATTGATGTCTTTGATGGCTATGATACTGCAGGCGGGAGCATTACTATGGCGAGTCGCTTCCCAGAATATGCGGGCGATGTTAATAGCGGGAGCCCGGAGTTTAAGGTTGAGCCGGGTGATTATGAAGGAACAAATGTGGGCCATGGACTGCCAGCATTTGAGCAACAAAACATGGACGAACTTGGCTCACCTGTTTCCTCGTCTCTTGGTGGTACGAGTAGCAGCAGTGAGCACGGGGCTACTTCCTACAGCGTCGACGTGCGCAGCCCGGTTGAATATCCTTATTCCTTACAAGAAGTTGGAAGTCGATCAAGCTCTTATTTGGATGAGTTGCCGGGAAGTAAGAGCGAGTACAACCGGGCTGTAGAAACGTTCAAGCGACCGATCTTGCGTTCGTGTAGCGGCAGTCCCACTATCGGAGCTAATACCGGGAGCTCGGGCGGCAATAGTGTCAGTAGTGGCAGTAGTGGGAGCAGTGCCACCACATGTGCGATAAGCGTCGGGCCCAGTGCTGCAACACCTACTGTAGCTGGAGGCAATGGGCCGGTAAGCAATGGCTTCGCCATGCAAATACCTCGCAGTGTCCCAAAACAAGTCTACCCCATGGCTCGTTCGTTAAGCTCGACGTGTGGCGGAGAGGCGTCGCTACGGTGAGGCATATGGTAGCCAGGACCTTGGCGACAGTAGTCGGTGACATGGAGTTAGTCTGTGAGTACCGTGTGTTAGGCCAGTGGGCTCCCGATGAGGGGATTAAAGATACATTGTCCAATTTCTTGCTGGGTGGCAAGCGCGGGGCATGGGGTGTTGAGGTTTGGCGTCGACTTTCGCATGGGAGCGCGGGCGCGTTTGTACATGGCTCCTACTTCAAGCACGGGAATTTTTCACTGTATCCTGGGACGGCGGGTCTCTGTCAAGGGGACGTGTCATGTTGCTTCACGACAGCAGAGTGTTCCTCTTGTTTGTCGCTTTACATGGTGGGCTGCTCGGCGAGTCGCGCGCATTTTCTCAGCGCAGCCGGCTTCTCGCCCAGCCGTGGCTCGCAGGGGTGTAGAGCGAAGGAATAGGCAGAAGGAACGGGGGCCGGTCGACCATAGTAGCATTTAATAATTATTACCTTGACCCGGAAGTTGCCACTCGCCCGTCTGACGAGTCTGCGAGCGCAGCAGAAAAGAGCTCAGACTAGAATGTCCCGGCATGGATCGGCGGCCCTCGGTTTATACTACAATTGTACTATTTAGTAGAGCGGCCGCTGCATATGGCATGAAAGGGAGAATTTCCGCCTATCCGCCCTTCGTCAGGAAAGCGCTTGTCAAGAGGCAGCCTGGGCCAAGGGTCACTCGCGAGGGAATCCATGAGGCAATGGTCTTCTTGGCTTCTACCCAGGGCGGGCCTGTGCGTGCTGCATAGCGTGGGCCAAAGAAACGACCATGAGCTACGGCGTCAATGCATTCCTTTTTACACTTCATTGAGCACCGTGAGCCCTGCATCTCCCGCAGGCGATCATGTAGCGGCGGAAGAGTGCGGGTCTAGCGGCAACGGGCGCCCCCGCCTACGCACTCCAGGTATCCGAGAGCTCGTGCATATGGCGCCTCCACAACGGTCCTTGCCGGCAGACCTTGAAGATGTCTGAATCTCAGCCTAGTGATATATCTTCACTTGACGAGACATTCATTTTTGGCAGAGCAAGTCTCACGATACTGGCCTGCTGGCTTGGCAACGCTCCAAGATCAACTTAAGCGGGCCTAGGCTCAGGTGTGAGGAATTTCGATGGGCCAACGTTCCTTTGGAAGCCTTCAGATTGCAGTCGGGGTTCTTCGAGTCTCGATTTCCCTCGCACCACATAATATTTACTTGTACATCCTATCGCCCCAAACCATGCTGTTTCGTATCGTTCACGCACGCCTTTAGTTTGTATCGCTCACGCTTTGACCTTCCGTGACCTTGGCATAAGACCTCGTCGCATTTGGCCCGACACCAGCCCAGCTCGGATGTGGTCCAGGCTCATGGCTTAGAGGATCACTTGCGATTCACATCGGCCAGGCTAAGAATCCGATTATTCTCCACAGGAGCTGGAGCGACAAAGTGCGTGTTCTACGAGTCAGAGCCCGTAGGCCGAAGCTTCGAGATGAGAGTGGGTTCAGCCATTCTCGCACCATCAATCCATACAGCACAAATGCTTCGCTACAGCGAACAACCTACTTCACAATCTATATCACTCCAACTGCAGTTCCTCGAGAATGTTGGCATGCCGTTGATTTACGCCGTTTCGTGAAGGTATTCTCGGCTCTCGCCTATGCCACTGTATGGTTGTCATGACAACTAGTTTTTCTACCGCTCGCTCACGCTGGCAGAGATCCTTCCCTGCTTTAGCCTCGCTTACGCCAAGTTAAGCTGGCGCTCGAGGCCCACCTCTCGAAAACACGCGCAGCTATCAAGCCTAGTGGCGCACTGGTATGCCGCTGGGGTTCCTACCCTATACGCGACGTAATATAGCTACTACGAATGCAGCTGGTCCCCTTCTCTAACACTGGCACTAAAAGTACCAGAGCTTGTCTCCTCGTACTCTGGGAGGTGAAACAAATTACCCCTGTCCCTGATAGTCAGTGAAGCAGAACACACAGCATTTTTGTCTCTTTCACACGCATTTTCGGAAACAGAGAGACGTGGCGTTTCCTAATATCCAGCTTAAGTTGCCACCTATTTTTACCAAGATTTAGAGGTGGAGCAGAGGCCCTTTCACAGTGTCTGAAGAAGCTCGATTGTCATGGCAGACGAAGCAGCAGCAAAGCACCCTAAAATCGGTCATGCTTGTAGGCGACGGTAGATAATTTTTTCGGCTTGAGAGTAGTAATTATCATGGCTCGATAGCTGGATAAAACATGTTTCAAAATAGACAGAGGCTCCATCGCACTGCGCGGGGTGCTGGGTAAGGCAAGGATCCTCAACATCTGCTTCGTCTTGGATAGGACGCGGGTCTGGCCAGAGTCGTCGCAAATACGTGAGTCCACATCTGCACCGAATATCAGGGAATAACCTTGCACTATCTGGGCTTGAGTAACTATCGTCTCCTGAATGCTGCACGTCAACTACAGCGTACCCACTACATTAGCTTCAGAGGTTATGGCAGATGGAGGCGTTGAGGTAAGAACTCCGGTAAACCGATATCAACCTTAAATCCTTCGAACTTGGAACAAATCTTTTCATGGTCTTGTACCTTGATACTGAAATTCCTCATGGTTGTGAGCAGATATTTTACAAGATGACGATTGGTAATTGCCGCAGGCTGGTGGCGTGTGGTGATATACACATTGTATCTTCATTTGAATCTATGATGCTGCCCAAGGGAATCAGGATTCACTTGGGCGAGAGGGCAACGGCCAGTGAGGGAAGATAATTTTACCTCGTTGCATCTATAATACTGTAGAAATGGAGTTACTGAAGTGTTCGCATCATGATTGGCCAATCCCACGCACCTCCACATAGCTCCGTAACTAATCTCTTTTGGGCTATTCTAACGGGGAGAGAAGCGATGAGCGCTAACTAGTTTCTACCTGATGCTTTTTTTCTTTTGAATCATTTAATTTGTATGCAGCTATCTAGCTACGACACATGACCGGTGCTAGGTATACATGTGGGATGACTCTTTTGACATTAGAGACACTCATGCTCTGGATTACATTTGCAAATACCACTATGATGTATGCTTGCTTACACAAACAGTCGACCCTCCTCCGTAAGTACCCACCAAAGGGACGTTTCAAAACCTTTGGTTATCCAAGCATGCCTTCGTCATCCATGCATACCAGCGCCGCGAGAGATGTGGTTGTGTTTTGCCGGATTTGAACTAGCGATCTATTGTCTCTAGTTGAATCTGTGTCCAAGCCATCCAGACTCTATTTGGCAGACTGGCCAAGACAATGTACCACCGCACCATCCAGCCACGGCGGTTATATAAGATAATCAGATGTGTCATAGCTAGATAGCTGAATACACTATGAATTAAAAAAAAAAAAAAGCCACGGCGGTGATTATAGTGTTGCCTGCACTCTCGCAACCAAAGTCTTGGCACGCACAAAGCTCAATTTGTAAAAGCTCCTTGCCAAAATTCGAAATTTCACGCCCGTCGGGTCTGTATCCATCCTCGCGTCATGGTGTCATCTTGTAAACTTGTCTTGAACCCTCTCACTCCCATCCTAAAGAACTATCATCCAGATTTATTCGCCACGCTTTGCTTCTTCCGTCGGGTATAAATATCAGCGTGGACGTGTATTTGGTGACCATCTAAGGCTAGGGAAAGTCGACAAGAGGTGTGATCATTGGAATGAGGATATACTAGGTCGTACTTGTGGACTTGATGAGGCTTAGGTAGGAATCGAATTCGTCGGGAGTGAAAGATTGATATGGTGGAGTAATTTGAAATTTTGCCTCGTGGGCCAACTTCTTTGATATTGCGAAATTTGACTGAACTTGGCTCTGGAAGGTTATTCCACTCCCAGGTTCGTAGAGGACATCGCGTACAGGTGTTCAGTCTTGCCCTCCATTCTACCTGATCCGCTTCGCTGTCCTGGGCCCCGCGCGATACATTGCATGGATGATTCCTAGTTACCAACGTGATCAGCGCCTACCAACAGGCATCTCTCCTCTAGCAGCTGTGCTCAGAGCGACTACCCGTGATAGTCTTATCAACGTGAGTGTCATACAATTTCAGAGGGACACGTTTAGTCGAATGTTACCGTCGCGAAGGAGTGTACTGGAAAGTGCTGAAGATGGGTAGAATTATGAGGGCATCAAATCTCAATATTCGGAACGCAGTCTACACGTTAACAAGCGCTGTCCGCGCCGGATAAGACGAATTCTTCACCTTCCGGTGGTGCCGGTGTAATGGCTCAGTATGCTCTACATATCTGGGATCGCCAAGAAGAATCGCATCCGAATCGAAGTCGAAAGCAAACACATCCACATCTCCATTTGACGACCTCTCGACAATGCCTCTCTTACCATACTCATCTGAGTCCTTAACCTCTCTCAAACCACGCATCATCTCGCCTCGACGATAAAAAAAGAAGTTGCTCCAATTGCATACAGGAGCTTATGCCATTACTTTCCAGCCATCTATTTCCACATATTTACGACGCTATCTATACCCGCAAGGAGGAAATTAATTCATAATATACAAAGTTGGGGTCTTGACTTATGGGGGACTGTTGCTCTAATGAGACAAACAACTTGAGGAAGGAAAGGCGGCTGAGATGTGGAGCGAGAGGAGAATAGGTCTCTGAAGACCATGCTAGGACTGACATTTTCGAGGGCTTTTCGACTTTGGAACAATTGTGAGCGCCAAGACAAAGATTTCGGCTAATTAGCCAGGAGGGCTTCTTTTGTCAATGAGTCAACGGCACTCTCCAGCGGCCTGGACGGCACAAAAGAAGTTGGGCTAAGCCACTAAACAGCAATCACGCTCTGTCAAGACTTTTCTGACATTTCAGTACGACGTTCGAGAAGGAGTTGGAATGAGGCTAGGAAGGCGTAGTGTGAATTTCCCGAGGTACCCACAAGTCTGCAGCGCCCAGCTGGCCGGCCTCTTCGAAAGCTTCAGAAGGGGCACTATGTCTTCGGATCTAGTCCTAATGTCGGTATTAGGAGAGCCCCGCACG